AACACTATTTATAAAAAATAAAAATTAATAACTTTAACACTTCTTATAATGAGAATAATCACATTCTGAGAATAATCACATTCTTTCCCCCTAGTAATTTTGAGAAAAAAAATTTAATTTTTATTACTTTAATTATTTAAAATAATAAATTACTTTTTGAGTTTTTGACTTTTTGTAAAAGCAAGATAATGACATAAAGAAAACACGAAAAGCTGTGCGCAGAAAAAATTTAAAGTACACAATTATAAAGTGTGTCATCAGATATCCAAAAAAGAAGTTGAGATAGATCACAAAGATATTTACAACTGCTCAACAAATATGCATACGTATTACATAATCTCATTCCATGTAATAGGTAGTCCTGGTAAGAACCAATGAAAACAAAATCAGCAAAATCTTTAGGGTCAAATCTCTGTTTCCTCTCAAGATTTTTCCCTTTTGTTCACCATAAAACATAAACAGATATGAACATGTTTTTGATATTTTGACAATTGTGTATTTGTTCAAAACAGTAATGTTTGATCTTTAGTTCTTGTAAGATGTTGTGAACTGTCACCATGATGGGAACACGAGATCCAATTCCCCAGTATGATGCTTCCATCTTCCCCGTTGATGCATGCTGCAGTAGCAGTTATGTCATTCCAGAAAAAGCACAAAACCAATCTTGCATAAGGAAAAAAAATGCATTTACCAATCATAACATATATCAATAGAGGCATTGATCGATAACTATAAATAACATCATGTATACAATTGCATGAATTCAGTCAATAAATATAATCTACCAAAATGCAAGGCTAAAATAACCACAACGAAAAGTAAAAATGTAAAAAGCTTGCATACCTAAGAATGATGGGAGGGCAATAAACATCAACTTTTGTCAATAAATCAGCATATCATTTGCAATATTATTATGAACAACTGGGGCAAATGGTGGCCAATCTGCAGAACAAAAAATCACAAGGCAAGTTCTAGATTGTCATGGCATGAATGAAAGGCTAATTGACCATAAAAGGAAATAGAAACATGCCACTACGTGGATATTATGAGTAATCAACAAACTATAGCATAAGCTGCAAGTTACCTCTTGCTAAATCCTCTTCTTTGCTGCTTCACTTCCTATGTTGTATATCCCAAAAGAAACAGATGGGTGAAACCTGTAAAAGTCTGCATGTTTCACAAGTTCAATCTCCTTGATATACCTCCTGTTGCTGGTTAAGTTCAACTGCCATGGCCAATCTCCCTCCCTTTCCTCTTCAATTCAATTCCTAAGATAATTTGAACAGTGTAAATCGGAAACCATAATCATTGCTCACTTTCATAAAACAAGCAAGAAGTGGCATGCAAGGAGACAAAATCAACTCCTTCCTAGATCCTGCTATGTTTGGCTATGGCAGCAAGGTTCACAAAAAGTAAAAGAAATTGGATGGAATATAAAGCATTAGATTGAAAACTAGAAACTTACATGGCATTGATCTGAGCCTTGTTACACTTGTGCATCCATTAGATATAGCTCTCAAACACTAACACATCAACTCCTTCCTAGTTTCTGCCATGTTCGGTTATAGCAGCAAGGTTCACCAGTCATCTCAGGTCAGTATGATATGTTTCAAGGAATGAATCAGACTCTACCATGAAGGGAGCCTAGTAGGACTCAATTGATGCATTGTACTCCTGAAACACATTTGGATTTCGATTTGGATTTGGGGAGGGGGTTTAGAAGTTTAGATGGGGGCTAATCCACCATATGAAGTAAAAGAAATAACTAATAACTGAACAGATGAAAATTGTTAATGATGAGATTGAGACCATATGCCATTTTTAAGGAAAATCTAACCTATGAGTTTAAGTCCTCTAAGAAGCCTTATATGGTAACTTGGAAGACTGCTCATCAATCGAGAAGACAAGGTATAGACTATTTCCAACCGACTGCCATGTTTTCCAAACAAGCTCCGTGAGTGACCTATACAAATAATAAATCATTAATATGTATCTCCACGCATGTGACTTGTGAATGTGAACTTTCACTACATTCTTAGAGAGGAAAGGTATTCACCTCTTCGCAACATTTCATGACACCAAAAAGAAGCAACTCAGCCATTTGTAGGAAGCCAGAAAATTATGCTAATTTTTATCATAAACGTCCCCTTGTACAAAACTTTAAGCTTAATAACCTGAAGTAAACAAGAACCATCATTAACCAAGATATGTACTGTTACCAAAAAAATAAAAGCAAAATATCTGACAACAGCATATAATTTTCCCAACCCACTGCCATGTTTTTCAAACAAACTCTTCATGTAACCTAAACAGATTGCAATCATGAGTATGTTCCTCCATGCTTGTGACTTGTGAATGTGAACTTTAACTGAATTCTTGGAAAGGAAAAATTCACCTCTTTGCACAATTCATGATCATGACACCAAAAAGTTTTGTAGGAAACCTGAAAATGATACCAATTTTTATCAGAAACTCTAGTACAAAACTTTTAGATTACGAACAAAAAAATGCATACCCAGAAACCAAAAAACTTCCTCTCCTTGAGGTCTGATTCTTCAGTTTAGCACGTAATTTTCCAGCCAATCTTTTCGTTATTGAGTAAGGGCTTTCACCGGAACATGTTGTCGGTGGCTTGTGATTTATTGAGAAAGTTGATGATTTCTCTCGAACTACAGAAATTGTTTCTTTCAGCAACTAAAATAACACAGGATTGCAAATGATAGAAAAATTATAAATAAAAAAGACTGTCCACATAAAGTTAAATAAAAAATATATAAAAAAAATCAAATAAAAAAATACTATTATTGTTCCTCCAACCACAGATATTAAACAATCTTATCACCCATAATTTTATCTTATTAAATGAGAAAAGTGGAATATGAATCCAAACACAAAAACTAAATAGAGTTACAATAAGTCAAAATAGAGATAGTGAAATCTAAACACTTACTGGTTGGAGTTTGTGAGGGAGCAGAGGCTGGGGATATCTTTGTCTTCTAGAATATACCCACTTAGGGTTTCCATCTCAGACACATCCATTTCTTTCTCTTCTAGAATACCCAATTGTTTTCGTTGGGGGAGGAATGAAGGAACTGTGGAAATGCCTTTATTGGCATGTGTTATTGAGGTGGCACGTGGCTTTACATTTGTAGTTTGCAGCTCTTCACTTCAATCTACACAAATTATTTCCCAAATTTTCAACAAATTTTCAACAACAAATTATTTCCCAAAAAATTATTACCAAAGCAAATTCAAATTAGAATTAAATAGTAGTAAATTGATCAACACCTTACCCTCAATCCCATGGTTATCTAAATATATTTCAAGAAGGGTTGAAGGAGGTTCTTAGCATTAGGATGATCCCACTCCACTGATTCCCACCATTCTTTTGACTCTTTTTGTATCTTGATTTCTTTGAGATGAAGAGGAGGAGATGGTTGGCCGTTATCAAGTTGGGGAAGTTGCACAGGGATCCTCTTTAACTCCGAACATCCATCTATTTCAATTGTTTCAATAGAATTACAAACCATAACTCCTTTGGCACTGCAGATGCTCTTCAATTGGGGTAAGTGCCACAAGTGCAATTCCCTTAACTTAGGAAAGGTGAAAGTGAATTTATCCGATGATGTCGCATCCGAATCTAATGATGCTATTATCTCCTCCATTTGAAGACAATAAAAAACTACAATCTCCTCTAAGTTTTGGAGGGTATGCAGTAGCTCAAGTGGCAGCAACTTCCTTATTCCCGAACAGTTCACTACAAAAAGCTTTTTAAGATTGGAAAAGACGTGCGGTGGTGTTGCTTCTCCTTCCACTCTCACAAGTTCACACAACCTAGGCAATCCACGAAGCGACAGCTCTTCAAGTTTATCAAATACTGGACAACGCAATGAGGAGGAGGAGGAGAAGGATGAGTCCAACTCAACCACGCACTCTATCTCTTCACAAGAGCTAATATCGCATGTCCTCAACTCATTTGCTTTTTCTAACAGAGCTATTTTGCTTAAGCTGCTTCCCATGTTTTTAAGCCTAATTATCCACAAATATTCAAGCTTATTTGGAAGCACTATACATTCTTCCCCGATCTCGCAATCAATAATTACAAGCTCATGTTTGCTCTTTCTAAGCATGTCTTCTGCACTCCCAACTAGAAGACTGTAAGCAATAGCCCTTTGGAAATCTTTGAACTTGTTGACAAAAGAATTGAAGTCTTGTATGTCATCAAAGTTACATTCTAAAGTCTCCAACTTCTTCAGTCTAGCAACCTCTTCAAAATTTCTCACTATTGTAGTTTCTCGCAAAAAACAAACAGCCAAATACTGGAGACTGGAAAGGTTAAGTAATATTCCTGTTGGAATCTCTTTCAGATTTGGACAAAATAACAAATCAAGATATTCAAGACTTATCAACATCCCCATGCCTTGTGGGACCACCTCAATCCCTGCCCTGTGCAAGTCCAACTTCTTCAATCCTTTGAGGTTTGCCAAGGAAGGCAAGTACTTTAACTTCTTGCAAAGCTGTAACCGCAGGGTAGATAGATTCTTCAATTTAGAGATGGAAGTAGGTAGAGTCTCAACAGCAGTGCTAGAGAGATCAAGAACCTTCAAAGTAAGCATCTCTCCAAAAAAAGATTCTGGAATCTCTGACAAATTAGAATTACTTGACAATAT